TATATATATATATATATATATATATATATATATATATATATATATATATATATAATGATCCTATAATTCTTGGTCTATTAAATGAATGACAAATGACAAGTGCACAAATCTGCACAAATTATAATGATATCTAAATTATAACTAATACAATATTTGATTACCTAATATCGGTTAATAGAATATTTAACCTATCTTAACATGTAGATGCATTAAAATTTCAAAAATAAAAAGTATGAACAAAATCAAAATCTTTTTCTTTTGATTTTTCATTTAAAATTAAATTACATAGGATAAAGTCAATTATTGTCAAACCCAAATAGAATTTTAAAAATATTTTTCTATTTTTCTTTTGTATACTAATTTTGAGTATTCTAATACCTTCTTTTGTATTTAACTTAATCCTTTACCAATCCAATATCTAAAACCCATTTTTTTAGGTTGTTTTTAATAAACTATTATAATAATTCCTTCTATTTTATTTTAGATTTTTGTTCATCGTTCTATTTGATTCCGGTTGCAACAATTATAAGGATAAAGTTTCATTTTTTTTTATTTTTTATCCTTTCACCCTGTTTATAATTCTTCTACAGGGACAATGTCAACGAATTATTAGAAAATATATATTAAAAAAGAAAAAGTAAACGTTGTTTTGAGACTAAACACAATTAGTATTGCTTTTTGTTCTAACCATAGAACAGCAGCCATTAGGCCCAAACATTTAAAGTAAAGTTTATTTATTGTAGAATATGAAATCAGGTGTGAGCTGGCCCCACTATCGCATGCTTATCTTCTAGATGCACTCCAACCTCCAACGTTGACTACACATCAAAATTACAAATTCGCGTATATTTTATCAGCATACCATGGATAAATTAATATTTTACTCAACTTACATAATTCTTTTATACATTGTTAAATTTCAAATTTGTAATTAATTTAGAACAATTGTGTGTACTAACTTTATAGATTATCTTTATGTTTTCTTAATGTAAAGTGCCTATAAGGTTCATCAATAACTATTTTTTTTTAAAAGTTAATTACTAGTTTTAATTGATTCTTTTTAACTACTTTTTTTTTTTGTCAAATTATGTAACTCAAGTTTTTTTCTAAATTAAATCAACTCAAGTCAAATAGATTAATTTATTAGATATTGAGTTGAAATAAATCAGTTTAACTCGATTTATTTTTGTGTCGGTTAGAAAATTTGGATCCTAACTTAATTGATTACATATTACCGAATTCACTCATTTAAAAGTATTTTATCTTATTTTCTTAATTTATTTAATATATTTATTATAATATATCGGCTTAATTCATCATTACAATATTTAAAAGATAATTACTAACAATATTCATAAGATTATTTATTTTTTTACTACAAATATCAACTAAATCCCCGTGTATATAGCGATAATAATAGATGAAATTGAAATAAAATCTTTAGACATTATTATTCTATTGTCGACTTTTGGCTATGATTAGCCAAAAAAGCTGACCCAATATGCAAACGGGAGAAGCAGTTGGAGAAGCCAACTTTTGACATTGTAAACAAATCTCATTCTCAAGCAAACTCTCCCAAAGTCACGAAGTGGTTGTTGAGAATTTTCCTTTTTTCAAACAAAACAAAAGGAACAACTCAACACGTTCTGGTTTTTCTCAGAGACACCCTTTTACTATTTCTCTTCTCCTTCTCAAAAAAAAAAAAAACACACCCAACATTCTCGTACCTTTCTGGGGTGTCAACGATTTTCCCTCATTCATTTTCCATTGCCAAAAAAATCATACCCTGAAATTAAAACATATTTTTTGGTGGGGGCGTGTCGTGAGAGATGTGCCCTTTAAGGTTTATCTTGGTGTTCTTCTCCGCCGTTCTGGCCGGTTATTTTGCCTGGAGAACAGTGCGTTCTGACCCGAAGATCGAGGTGTTTTCTGAGGATTCTGCTGAAGAAGATAGATCATCCAAGAAGGAAGATTTTGATTTCAAAAAGGTACCCTTAAAACCATGTTTGTTTCTACGATGATCCTCGTTAGAAAATAGGATAAGCCAATTCACCTTTTGAAATTTTACGGTCGATAGTTAGTTTCCTAGGATGAACAATTAGGGTTGTTAAGGTTGCTGCATAACTTTTCAGGACAGGTTTATGGTTTTTGTAAGAGAATAAAAATTCCAAATTAATGTTTCAGAGCTGGTAAGTTAATTTTTGTTTTAATGCAAAGCTTCTTTAGTTCATATTTATGAATTTTAAGGATTTAACAGAGTTTGGCGTTCTTTTTAAAAGATAAAAAGATATGCTTCGAAATTCAGGTTTTGGAGAAATTTATGGACATGTAAATTACTTTGTTTAATTCAACATTTTTTATTGAATTTGTGTAATTTTTTTTAATGTATTTCTGCGAATTTGGGTTAGCTTGTCGGAGGAAGTTTGCAATTTTCCTATATATTATATTTTTCACGATTTTTAATTAATGCAAGATTCTGGTTTGAGGTTTATGTCGGAACAAATTCAGAGATTTTTAGATGGGAATGTAGAATAAACTCCCAAAAAGTTGAAATTCCTTTTGTTGTCGATAAGTTTTTTTTTTTTTTTTTCAATACATAATTTCTATAGTTGATATTTGAGTTTAGTCTTGGTTTGTTGTTGACCAGAAAGTTGATTTATTTTTCAGATGATCGAGAATGGATTTTGGGTTTTCATTGACATGGCTAGTGGAAGGTACCTATGGAGGAATTTGAAGCAAACCAAGAAAGATGCTGAATTGAAGAGCTCTTAAAAGGGACCCTCTTCTTTAACCATTAGTCTTTTTTATGATTTGTCTTGTGCAACCTAATATAAATTATTGTATTTTCACTTCTCTTTGTGGATTCAAGAATGTTTGGTGCATAAATTGGGGAGAGAAAAACCATCGTGGAAATCTCATTATTCTGCATATTCTCATTGTTTAGATTTTTTCCTTTTCTTCCATTTCCATGTAAAAACCTCTAAATGGCATCACTTATGGCAAGCTTAGACATGGATTTAGTTGATGAAATTGAAAAACCCTAGACATTGTTTGATAAGGTGATTAGAAAATGTTCTCTCTTGTTATTCAATTTGTTTCTGGTGGATTCACTAGTGCAGCGAGGGGCTTTTACCGCGGTTATTTTTCACTATACGTCGCGGTTTACGAACCGCGGCATATTCAGCCGCGGTAGTAAGTCAGAGACTTTAGGCCGCGGTTATGACCGCGGTATATAGGTTGCGGAATATGCCGCGGTTGTCCAAAGAACCGCTGCCTAAATCCTTTTTTTAAAAAAAAAAAATTTGTCCACTATATGCCGCGGTTGGGGTTACAACCGCGGCATATTCCCCTGCAGTTTTTTAAAATTGCAGGTCTGTTTTTGTGATATCCACTACCACAAAAACAGACCTGCATATAGTAGTGTCTTGAATCTCTGCAAAAGACAATTCATATTAATTAGTGTATATGAATTCAACATTTGGGAAAAAATCAAAATTTGTTAAAGTTATCAAAATTTGTTAAAGTTACCACTAATGAAGAAATCATGTTAAGAATGCAAAAGGGCATAAATACCTGGAACAGGGGCGACGAAAAAGCTTGGTGCAACAAAGGGGAATGGCAGCGGAGAGGAATGACAGGCGTTTCAAACGATTTTGATCGGCTAAAACTATTTTTTATCGTCAAAAATGGGAAATGACCGAACAATTTTGAGTTTAAACGGTGAAGAAACGAGGGAACTGAGATGGGTGGTCGGCGGGAGAAGAAAACTCGAAGTTGTTGAGCGTCTGCGCGAACAAGACGATACTGTTCCAAAGTTTTATTTTTTAACTCTGACTGGGGAATCTACCGCGGTTCACTACTTAACCGCGGTATAAGATGGCATTTTTGAAATTATTTTTAAACTATATGCCGCGGTTCGGCGGCAACCGCGGTATAAGATGGCATTTTTGAAATTATTTTTAAACTATATGCCGCGGTTCGGAGGGCAACCGCGGTATATTCCTCTAAATATTTCAAATTCATTTTAAATTTATTTCAGGTAGGAGAATAGGTTGCGGTTACTCTCAGAACCGCGGCATATACCCCTGTAACTTCTGAAATTCTCTGACTCAGTCAGCCCCTGCAATAAATTGGCAGGGGTATATGCCGCGGTTTTCCAGAGAACCGCGGCATATAGGCTGTTATTTAATTTTTTTTTCAGACGTGGCGTCAAAGGGGATGGTTGACTGGCGTATATGCCGCGGTTCCCCTCTGAACCGCGGCATATTCCTTCGATTTATTTACAAAACTGCCACCGCGCACCATTATGCTGCGGTTTCTAGTGAACCGTGGCATAATGTGCGCTGTAAAAACCCAATTTTTTACTAGTGATTCAACAGTTTGTGGTAATGTCAATGTGATTAGCTCAACAATAATGCAAGATTTTTCACTAAATAGATAGCTTCTCAACCTTGTATAAAACATTTATTTAATTATATATTAACCTATTAGATTAATAATTAATTAGTTAAACTATCTTTTTAGTTACTAACACATTCAGGTATTTTACTTTTAGCCTTTAACAATTTTTTTCTTAAATTTTGGTTATTCAAATGTTTATAGATTTTTCATATAATATCTAAAACAGATATTATTTATATTTAACTTCAATCAGTTTTAAATTCTCAATAAAGTATCTATTTGTAGTTTTCATTTGTTAATAATCTATTTTTTCAAATTACCTACCAAATAAGTTATAAAATTTTAGTTTAAGTTTCTGAAAAAATATTGCATTTTATCTTTAATATTATATTTTCCCTTTTATTTTGTAGATGAAATGTTTATTTTTTTCATCAAAATAACCTATATGTTTTTCATCGTGCAATAATTTAATATTGAAAGCAGGAGGTGTAAGATTGATTTATTAATTATTTAAGAGATTTATTTTATTCATAAGATATATAAAGTGGTTATTATAATATAATTTTATTAAAAGATATATAAAGTAGTTATTAAAAGTAGATATATATATATTGAAAAGATATAAGATTTATTGTGTGTGATTTTTTCTGTATAAGAAATTTAAAAAAAAAATCTAAAAAACACAAATAAAAAAAGTAATTAAAAATATATTTAATATTTTATTGTTATTAGAAGGATCACCTATCTAAGTTTTTAAGGTTGAAAGTGAAGTCATCAATATACATACTAAACAAATGAATGAATGAGTATTAGGCTTAGTGAAAGAATGTGACATAAGGAGAAGTTTTATATACTAAATATAGGGAAACTAACATTTTGTTTGCTAGCTCGTATGTGTTTTCAAAGTTAAGAAAAATATTGTTACGGGTTTTGATGAATATTTTCAATTCATCTTTTAAAGTTAAAACAATGAGTATGTATTCCTCATTCATTCATTGTGAAACCCATAACATCCGGAGGATCAAAACTTTGTTTTCAAAACTCAATAATTTTTTGCGAAATCTATAACTTCCGGAGACTACCAAGGTACGTGCAGCAACGATGACTTCTGATCGCATTTGTAAGGACTGCGAATGAGGACGAAGAAGATGAGGTACTTGAGTAAATTTTCGTATACTTTACCTACAAAGAGAAAACACAACTAGGTATTTTCTCGTTTACCAATCTTAAATATTTTAAAATTGTGGGGGTGTAGGTAATTTTACTTAATTACTCGAAAAAATAAATTTTGGCTTTTCACCTAATGATATTGATAGTATTCTAAATTTGAAAATGGTGATTGTGTCATTATATGTTTGTATGTGGATGACATGTTAAATTTTGGTACACGCAATGAGATTGTCGCTAGAACTAAATTGTTTCTAGGATCAAACTTTGACATGAAAGACATGGGTGAAGCCAATGTGTTTTTAGGTATTAGAATCATAAGGAAGGGAGATAGCATATTATTATCCCAAGAACAATATATTGAGAAACTTTTTAAGAAGTTTATGTTTTATGACCTCACCAGTGAGTACCCCTTATGATGCTAATTCCAAATTAATGAAAAAATATAAGAGAATCATTATCTCAGTCTCAGTATACCCAGATAATTGGGAGCTTATTGCACTTGATGAGTTTTTTCTAGACCTGATATTGCTTGTGCAGTAGGTAGATTGAGTAGGACCACTCAATATCCAAATCAGGAACACTGGGATGCAATGGCTAGGCTTATGAGATACTTAAGAGGTTCAATGGATTATGCGATTGAATATAGTGGATTTTCCGTTGTACTAGAAGGGTACAGTGATGCTAACTGGATCTCTGATTCAGATGAGACAAAATCCACTAGTGGTTATTGATAACAGTTGAAAAACTGTTATTTTCATGCTTAAAATTGATACTAAAAGCAACCTTTAACACTTAGAAATTAGCTTGAAATCATGCTTTTGGTCATATTTTTAGAAATAAGAGAGCTGGACAGGTTTATGCTTGATTTCAGTGTTTTTGTGCAGGTTTTAAGGTGAATTTGGTGAAAGAAGTGAAGAAGGACAAAGATGGAATCAGAAAAGACATCAAAAAGTGCAAAAGGAGAAGCCGCAACTGCCGCTCAGCGGCAGTTTACCGCTGAGCGGCACTCAGGCAGTCACGTTGGATCCGCTGAGGGGTGAAAAGGCCGCTGAGGGGAGAAAAACAACTCACGCACTTACCGCCGAGCTGTAGTTTACCGCTGAGCGGAACTATTTTTGGGCTTGGGCCTAATTTTCTGTAATTTTAGAATAGTATATAAGCTTTAGGACGTCCTAGGGTTTGTATCTTTGGTAGAGACGAAGCAAACACTCTCTTTTCCACCCCTTGAAGGAAGATCTTGGATGCTCAGGCTACCTCCTCCTCTTTCTAGGGTTTTATCTTTCATTCTTTCATTATTGTTCATCTAGTTTCACCATGAATATGGTGAACTAAACCTTGTATTGTTGTTGGGGAATCAATGTAGTCTTGTGAAACTCTCATATATGGAATTTGATTTAATGTCTTATATTAAGATATATGCTTTCTTTCATCTTTAGCTAGGGTTTTTCCTCTTTGCTTATTGCTTGCTTTGTTTAACTCATTCATTGCCATGATTATTGATTTTGT